TTTGTGACCTCCTGTGTTTTCCTTCTGCTTCTTCTTCCTTTTCTTATCACACACACATGTGCTCACACATGCACAGATGCACGAAGAACTGAAATGAGAATAGTTGTGAAATGCCATTTGCTGAGTAATGCTAAGCATTGTCCTTCTGGAAGCACCTACGAAGGAGGCAAAAGGGACCGTTTCCAAATGTGCATTGAAGATAAAATCTTCTGGGTTTCTTTACTCTGTTGTAACACGAAAACCTGGAATTTTCCATACGACACCTACATTTCATCACTGGAAGAATAAGTTCATAGAATATGCTTCACAGCACCAGAGGAGTGGTGCTTGCAATTGATTTCAAACTCAGTCATTTTGCGCTGGTGAAATGTGCCATGCCTTCTGTTTTCAGTCAGTTGCTATAACTCAGACATTAACTACCAAGACCACCCTTCTCTCAGAACAAATACTATTTTCCATAGAAAATTCAATTTCTCTGCATTGAGATATACCTGATGGCGATCTTAGCAGCTGCCGAGAGTTACCAGAGAGTTCTAACACATGCCTTAATGAGGATGGCGGTGCTCATGTTTTTTTCCCCTGAAGAAACAAGGCCATGTGCCTCTAGATAAAGATCTTGTCTATTTCTTGTCTGGAAATCATTAATGGAAGAGCTGTGGGCTCCAGCCTGAGGACTGCATGGAAGGAAGTGTGTTTTCAAAACAGAAATGCTTTGGGTCCTGCCTTAACTTCATTTGATGTTTTCTGAAACCAGAAAACAATTGAAAATGATTCTAATCCAGTTCACGCTGTAATGGGATCTGAGTTATTTTTTCTCTGATCTCCGATCAAGGGATTTTTGGCTTCCCTCTCTTCCAGCTTTCTTGAAAAATGCTCCTGTATCCGACTCTTAAGACTCCACTGTGGTACTGAATGACCTCCACTCTACTGCCTACAACCATTTTTTCCCTTTCACTGTTCTGCTGCCACACTTTTGTAAGTCAGATGCCTCTGTTGTGAGTTTAGTATGTACAGCAGTAGGCAAGCAACCCCCTTTATTCCTAAGACAGCCTGAGTCTCTCTAGTGCTTGGCTGGGAGACCTGGGAATCCCATATGGCCACCCTGTATTCCTCAGTGGAAGAAAGTTCAGACACTAATGGAATAAGTGAACAAGTGAGTCAGCTAGCAAAGAAGGATGGAGCCCTCCACCCTTCCTTGGCAGCTAGTGCTGAAATGATCTGGGATGCTAAATGAGGGAAGCCTTTGCCTTCATGTCCACTGCAGAAACGCAGCTCTCTGTCCTTCCTTTGCCATTCCAAGTCAAATTATTTGCAAGCAAATTTCTCTTCTGGCTTGGTTTACAAGGCTGTGTATCAATTCCAGCCCTCAACCCTCTTCAGCCCAACATTTCTGGTGGTTAGTCTGCAAGTAATGCTTTATAAGTGTTTGCTCCAGATGTGCTCCTATAAAAGATCTCAGCAAGTAGGAGAGGATGGCCCTAAGGCCTACTCTACAGGGGGCATTCCTCTGTTTCAAGGGTGTGCCTTCCAGAAGTCGCTAGATTGCACTTGAAAGCTAGAGTCTTTCCATCTGGTTGATCTCAGGTTTCCCACCCCTGCTCTATTTGAAGTGCTGTCCAGATCTAATACAGTTTAAAGATGAAGTTGCCCATCCAGAATTCTCAGGTAGAAAGTAGACTGAACAAGCTAGCTGTCAGCTTTCCACATATGGTAAGATGTAAGCTGCCTAGAGAACATAACATTCTGGAGAGATGAACAAATGTTGACCCTAAACATATAAAGGTATCTATTACAATTATAGTTACTATTTTAAATGTGTGTAAAGGCACAATCCTTGATGTGTTCAGCCAGATGAAAGGGCTAGCATTTCCAGCCAGCCAGCACATAGGATTGCAGACTTAATGTATAAACCAGCATATGCAAATACAGGTCGTCTTTTCTGGTGAGTGATAAGTGGCCATCCCAGAAAGCAAAGCTGGGAAAGGCCTCAGCTTGAAATCACAGGAAACTCTGAAAGTCATGAGAGACTAGAACAGGCTGGATGGGCCTTTGGATCAACTTATTACAAGGCAGCTGAGCTTCTGTTCTTCTTTCTAAAGGAGAATCTATTTAGGATGAAAAGACTTCTGCCTGAAAATTATCATCGTCTCTGCACTTTGGGGCAGGCACAAAACGTTTTCTTCACATTAAAACCCATAAGCAAGTGTTTGGGTGCTTACAATAATCTCTCTTAATGATCAGTGGCAGGTAAAACATTGCTTGCTAGATGACAATTATAACATTCAAAATTATCACTTTTATGTTTCACTCTAGGAAGGGGCAAAGGATACTGTTTGTGGGTGGCAAAAGCCCTGAAATAAAAATACAGATATCTTATATTTGACTTCTAGAACTGGGGAGGGAGGGGACAAATCATCCAGGACTTAGAAATGAGTCATCCAGGCCTTCTATCTTGTACAGCATCCCTTGCAGGTTACAGAGTAAAAGTGACAGGTGGCTCTTGGCCTTAGTGTGGTGAGAAGGCACATGAGCTGAGGCAGATGAGCAAAATTACTTACAGCTGTAGCATGGAAGGCAGGTGCTGTTTCCCAAATGTTTCCTCTCTGATCAGCTTGGCCTCTTCCCAAGGCTGACTGCCCCTTACCCTGGGACTGCCACCTCCTATCTCTAGGAGGACTCCTAGTGTTTTAATCTTTGCATCACAAGATGCTCTGCAGGGGTATCACCTGTTATTCCTGTGATCTCGTATTATGAGAAGCTGCTTCTGCCCAATTTCTTCCAGCATTATGGAAAGACAAGCAGACTCCCTTTCAGCTCAGGAAGGAACTGGTAGTCCTACAACTACCTGCCAAGTTTTCTTTTGTTGCACTGAAGCTGAACTTTGACCAATGGGATTTTTAAATGAATTTTTAACTCTCCCGAATGATACCAACAGCTTTGGGCCCACGCCATGCAATAATCCACTACCGGAAAAGGACAAAAGCAAAGTACTAGCTACAAACCCGTCTCTCTTTGCAACAGAAAGCTTCCGTCTGAAGCCAAGCACACATGTTGATACATGCTTGAGGAAGGTTATTGCTTTGAAGAAAGCAGGGCGCTAGTTAAGCATGTTTATATTGTAAAAGAACAAAGGTATGGCATGCCTATCTTTGCCAAGATGGTGTAAGAGACTGCATGCTCAAGGACTACAGCAAGACCACCAGCTGAGGGGCAGATGGTAAGTAGCATGGACAGAGACCTTAAGGATGCCATGAACAACCTTCCTTTTAGCTATAGGCAGAAGGGAAGGAAACTGCTGGGAGAAAGATGGGGAAGCGCATCCATGTCAGTTCTCCTGGACCTCTCAGTGGCTTTCAGTACTATCAGAGATGGTATTCTTCTGGATTGGCTAGCTGGGTCGGGAGTTGGAGGCACTGCTTTGCAGTGGTTCCACTCCTACCTGACTGGCCAATTCCAGAAGGTGCCACTGGGGGAATATGGCTGTGCACCATCGATTTCATGCCATGGAGTTCTGCAGGAATCCACATTATCCCCTATCCTGTTCAACATCTACATGAAACCGCTTCATGAAAACTAACTACATGAAATGGAAGAAGTCATCAGGTGGTTTGGGCTGACATATCATCATGATATCAAGTATTATGATACTCAGCTCTTCCTCTTTCATCTGACCAAGTGTGGCAGTTTCTGTTATGAACCAGTGTCTGAGCTCTGTGATGGATTGGATGAAGGCCAGTAAAGTGAAACTTAATCCAGGCAAGATAAGGGTGCTGTTGAATGGTGGCTCTTTCATCTAGATAGATATCTGCCCTGTACTGGATGGGGTTGCCCTCCCCCTAAAGGACAGGGTGTGGAGTTTAGGGGTGCTTCTGGACCCTGAGCTGTCCCTGGAATATCAGGTGAGCTTGGTGGCCAGGAACAACTTTTATCATCTTTGGTCAACCAGCTCTGTCCCTATCTAGATAGGCAGAACCTCTGAAGTTTATAAGGAAAGTGCTCACTAGAAAGGCCTTTTTGGTAGTGGCACCCCATATATGGAACTAGCTCTCCAGAGAGGTGCGCTGTGTGATTGAGAGGATACACTGAAAAGCCCCTCTAGATCCATGCAGATTGTTCCCTCAGTGATAATACTGATTCCCACATACAAAGCCTATCTAATTTAACCCTTCTGAATGTGCACAAGGTTGATATGATGAGGCTGAGTGGACCAAGGGCCAATGCCACTATTTCCATGTAGAGATTAAGTGCCTAAGAGAATGGATGACTAATGCAAACATGAAATATTATCCAGGTTTGCATGACTGCTTTCACTAGCTATCATGTTTAGCAGGTCTCTGCCTTCATCCACATGCATATGTAACACTCTCAACACGAGCATTAAGCAAATGTAAGGGGTGGAAAGATTAAACTCATACATGAGTCATGCTAGTAGCCCAAAGGGTAGATTTTATACACCCTTCATGAACATTGTGTTGTTGTTTTGGCCCATGTTTCAGCAGTATTAGTTTTTATTAGCCCTTTTAAGTTAATTCCAAACCACTGCTGAGATCAGCAAGCATTGCTTAAACAATTTTTTCCAAAAGAATACATAATAAGAGGGATAGGTTACATTTTTTTTACTGCCTTGTTGCAAGCTCACCTATGAACACCATGCAATCATTTTTAAATTTCTTTGAAAGCTTAACTTTAAATAGATGCCCTCTATTGACTGAAGTCTGATTTACATGCACAAGAAAAGGACATTCACTTAGTGCTATACTATTTCTACTGAGATAGAAGTCCTATTAGATTCAGTGGCTTGCACCCAACTGAGTAGAGGTTTACAGCCTCAGCCAAGTGAAATGAAAGGAAAGTACAAGCTTAAGGTTAAATATTGTTGCAAAATGGCTGTAATAATGCAAGGATCACTATAGATGTCAAACAAAAAATTCCATCTTGTCTCTACATACAAGAGTGATTAATTTTAAATGAATGAAAAGCAAATGACAACACTTTTCATGGACTTTCTGGCATTCTCTATTTTATTTAGAAGTTCCAAGACCTCTGCTCCAGAAATCCACTTCCAGAGTTTCAGCAAAACAAAATTACATGACTTTGCCCATGTCGTATCATGCTTGCTGTTCAAATGACCATCTTGAGCGCATGGCATCATCTTTTCAAGATTCAAATCAGTGTAAATAGTGTACATTAAATATAAACAGAGAGCAGCAGCACCAGAGCAAGATTTACACTGGTCCTGCTGAAGTCAACTTAACCTGTCCTCCAACAGAGGTGAACTGTAGATGGACCTGGCTCCTGACCCCCATGTGTGTGTACCATCAAATCCCTTTGCCCTGTTTCTGCTCCTTAGTTAAAGTACATATGTGCAAAGAACAACCACTGTACAACTAGGAAGCTCAGAGAGCTCCTCCAATACTGGCAATACAGTTTGCTGTGCCAAAGCATAAGCTACAGCATCTACTTAACACACATTTACATACGAGCCTGAAGACTGCAAGCCTGGTGGGTAAGTTTTTGCTGTTTCAGAGGCAGTGTTGCTTACTTACACTGACCATCCAGACCCTGTGAGTGATGACATCCAATAGAAGACAAAGTGCTTGTACCTTTAATAATTGCTCAGATGATGTTTCTTACTTCTGCATAACTAGGACATATTACAGTTACCAAAAGGTACTGTACTGTAGCCAGGTCTTAGCATGGTTGTCCTAATCACAAAGGGGACCAAAGGAACATAGGAGCTGGTCCCCTAATCACGAAGTGGATCAAAGGAGGTGGTTTCTCTTCAAAAACTTATCAGCTACGGCATCAGCTGCCCACAGACTCTGCCACTCCTTTGACCTTCCTTAGGATGAAGCGAGAAGACAGCTCAGGCAAACTTACCCACAAACATTCAAGAGCGTCCTGTGTTGACACAGAGGGATGCGTTTTGGGAAACAACCATATGATGGTGGGCTTCTATGGCAGAGTATCTGTTGCCAAGTCACATTGATAAGAAGCATTATTAGACATTCCTACAACTCACAGTGTAAGAATATTGTCTTTAGATGGTGCAGAGCATCTTTCCACAGTCAAGCTTAGAAGTTGCCAACTGCTGAATTCAGTACATGGTATATTACAAAGGAGGAGAGAAACAGGTCAAGCTGGGACAAAAACAACCACCTTGCTAAGTCTTCTTGCAGTTTGCAAATTAGCAATAGTTAGAAACCCAGGAGGGACAACAACAGTTCGTTCATCAGAGCAAATAACATTCTGCAAAGGTGTTTTAGGGTTCTGCTAAATTCAAGCACTTTCAGACATCACTTTGTAAAATCAAAAGAGTAGCCTTTCTCTGATTATCCCTTTCCCAAAACTAATAAAGAATTTTCTAGGTACACCTTACTTCCAAGTTTTCTAAACAAAGAGTCTGTCAGTTTGAATATTCCAGCTAGAAGGAAACATAACCACCAAGTTCTCTGGGTGGAAAGAGGTCTTGGGCAAAGACAATGCTGGTCAGTTTCTGTGAAAGGCTTCCCTAGCCTTTGATGACTGCAATGGGTCTCAATTTGATGGCTTTCTTACTGATGCCAGCAGCATGGCAGGTATTCACCACATCAGTCACATTCTTATAAGATTCTGGTGCCTAGAATAAATGAGATATAAGAGAGAATTAAAAGAATGTCCAGAAACTGTTTCATTGAAATCACTAAATTTTTAAGTATTTGTTACTAAAATACAAATTTCTATTCCATATCATGCAAAGCATGAGGCAGCTTATACACCTAAATACATGCAGATATTCACAAATATAGTGTGCAAACAAATAATTGAATTGCATGTTAAAGTAAAATTACTCATTCTTCCTTGTAATCTAAGCTAAGCTTTCCAGATTTGCTTTTAATGTGGAATGCCTGCCCTTGCTTTCTAAGAGCCTTAAGAATTGGGTTAAAGGGGAGTTTATTTTGACAATATATTCAAAAAGGTGGGTACCACCAACGAAAAGGCTGTTAATCTTCCTATAATAGCTCCCCTAAAATAAAGAACCTTCTGCAGTTCTGCACTTGCCAGTCTTAAAGGATATTGAGACCATTTATGAAATGTTTCATTACTCAGTTTGCATCAGAGTTCAGTGTTTCTTTTTGAACAGGCCCTCAATATTTCCGCTTTCCTTTTAAGAAGTGTATCTAAGGCCAGCAAAAGAAATAACTGGAGTAAAATGCACAATGTATACCACCATCCACATACAGATTCAAATGAAGTTTTTAACAATGAAAAATATGCTGTCCCCGAACTAAAGAAGAGGAAGGAAAAGGTTATTCTTCCAGACTGAAATTACTATTAAGAGTTCCTAGTCTGACAAATTATGATAAAACGGCTGACTTCTTTTGATGATGGATGCCACTACTTCCCTGGAGCAAGAAGTTCACTCCAGAAGTATACTCCCCTTAAGAAAGTACGTAAATAACTTACTTCTTCCATGACCAGTTTAGGGGAAGCAACACGTATTGCAATTCCCATGTCTGCCAACTTGTCTAATACATCCTGGAAGTCCAAGTTGCGCCGAGATTTTGCCCGGGACAATGCACGGCCCTATGAGACAATGTTGTTATTTCAGTGATTTATGTCTTTGACTGATGCAAGCACTGACAACAGGCATAAATAAAAGGTTAGTTCTGAGGCTTGGGCCACCTTACTTTTAAACTTGTATCTCTCAGGAAAATCACTCACTTTTTCTAAATATCCAAAACAACATATATTGCTGCTGCTGCACCTCTTGCTCCTTTAAACCCCTTCCCATTACATCTTTTTAACTGGGACCACAGCAGTCAGGGCATATAAGCCCATTCCTGCTCTTTCTGTGATCCCAGTGGGATCAAACACACCCGTGAGGAGACAATGGGCTTTCTCCAGTTACAGACGCATGGACAACATGACAAAAGAGCTAATCTTTCAACAACTCAGCTTACATACCTGTTATGGAGAAGAAACACATACAGCAAGTGCAACTTGATGCATTACAGTACTGGTGTACTTTGAAAAGCTGCAGTAACCGAAATTTACACTTCTGTATAATTGGTATAGGAGATTCTGCAGTTGCAAAACCCTGAGACACAAAACCCTGCTTATTCCTAGTACTGTTGCCATCTCAACTTAGAGAAAGGAAGTTTCATTTGAGCAAGACAGATGAAATCAAACTATGTTTCACACACAAGCCTATGGATAATAGATGGCTTTACACATCCTTGCAAATGCTGTGCATTACAGCCTTACTGACATGTCACTGAGCCTCTACCGGTGTGAGGCAGAAGACACTTAAATACAAGAGATCCAAATGTGTTGTTACTTACAGCTCCATGGCAGGTGGTTCCAAAGGTTTCTGTCATGCCTTGCTCTGTGCCTGTAAGGACATAGCTGCAAGTTCCCATTGTTCCACCAATCAACACTGGCTGGCCAGTCAGCTACAGACAAACAACAAAGACACCCAGTCAATATTAGAAGTATTGCCCAACAACAGCATTAGCAATTCATATGCATCCACTCAAGCCATGTTCCCAATAGTGGATCCAGGAGACCTGAGAGGGCATAGAAAATGGGAGCACGTTTGGAAAGTGTGGCACAGTGCATAAGCAGTGTTTTGACACTGGAGAGAAAGACAGCTGGAAGGTTGTGCAGGCGTTCAGGCAGATAAATAGATCAGCATGGTGCACAAACAGCAAATTCGAAGAAAAGATCATCCTAGGTGGGAGTTGCCTGCCAGGACAAGGAATAACTATTAGAAATAACTGCAAGATACACCAAAGCCAACTCATACTTGATAATCCACAGCTATGAGGGGGTGGTGAGGTGGGAAAGCTCTGGTCGATCCTTTCCTGTGCACCAACAGGGTCCGCTCCTTTCCATCCACCACATGCTGCTCTACTTTGGCAATGTTGTGAGATACATCGTAGATCACGTGCATATCCAGATCGTCAGGGGTGGTATTGAAGACTTTGGCAAATGCCTGAAAAATATTGCAGAGAAACAAGGTCAGGCTTGTGGAGAAGGTTCCAGAGCCTGGTATACCTGAACTGGGGGGTGGGGGGGGAGAACCAAAGTCATTTCTGGAAATTAGCATTTTAGTCAAGTAGATATTTGCAAACCTTCCCCATTGCTCACCTAATGTTTGTTTCTTCCTTAGACTGCTTGGTTTTCCTATAGAGTCTCTGTAACTCAGGAGTGTATTTTATTCCCTTTTCTTGTGTTTTCTAGGGCCACTGGCAACACCGGGGCAAGAAAGTCCTTAAAACTTGGAAAATTCACTTTGGATTTTCACTAGAAGCAAAAGGCCTTCCAGGTCTCAAAATTAAAGAACTCTGAGCTTAGGAGTTTGTCTTGAGTCCCAGAACTGGACTGAGCCCAGCCCTTCCCCACAAACACCACTCCTGGCTACCCCTGGTCCTCTGTTTTCTTCATCTCAACAGTGTAATTTAGGAGGCAGGCAGTAGCTTCATTGTTGCTGCCATTTAACAGGCAGGTCAAAATGCCTTCAAAAGGTTGAAAGGTCAGAAAACTGTGTCCAACAAATAACCCATATATCTAGATTTAGATCCCAAACTAGTTTCTGCCTACCCCTGTCCTGTCAGCATCTGTGTGTCTACAGGTAGGCAGAGGTGATGGTGGTGAGATACATCACCACTACAATGATAATCTGTTGCATATACAGTTTGGGCTGGTAGCAGTGGAAGGTCAGCATCCTGTTCAAAACAGCCCCAAGCTGACTGCATCACACCTACCCTTCCCAATGCCCTCAGGTGTCTTTACTGCAGAGAACTCACCAGCTTCACATTTAATGGGGAAAAACTAGTTTTTCAAGGAACCTGATGCTTGCTGAAGGGGCCCGGATCTGTTCATGCATTCGGTGAGCAAGCGCTTGGAGCAAAGGACCAACAATCCACGAGCCAATCAGGACAGCCTACTCTAGCCTTCAAGATGAATTGGACCAGAACTCCCAGCACATTCCAGTACAATGCATCCAGAGGGGTTGAGGTGGGCTGTCCTGCTCTTAGGGACATGGAGTGAAATGTTTTCCAAACTTATGGTTGAAAAGCAAACATGTCACTTCTAAAATGCATTACTAAAGCAGCCCTTCAGACCTTTTGGAGGGGGCCTATCATCAATCATGCTGGCTGGGGTTGATGGGAGTTGTAGTTCAAAACACTTGGAAGGCATCTGGTCGAAGAGGGCTTTACTAGCCAAGTACAGGGAGGATGGCTGTAATCAAGCTAGCACTCAGGCCAGACTCCAAGTGTTCGCTTTTTCCCTTTAAAAAGCTTACCTGTCTAGTGAGGAAAGTCATGGAAGAACGATTGACCCATGCGTAGTTTCCAGCTGCTGCCATTCCTTTCAAGTAATCCTGCCCTTCCTGGGAAGCAATCCTGGCACATGCCAGCTGGCGGTCATTCACGATGATCTTGTCCCGTTTCATAGCCTTCTCCATAGCTACCAGGGCATCTATGAGAAAAAAGACCAAGCCCATCACGTTCGGTGCAAGCACTTGACCAACCAGCTTGGACCAGCAGTTCCCAGGGACTAAGCATTTCTGCAGATTCTTCATTTGTGAACTGAACAGATGAAGACTGTGCAGCATTCCCAAGAAAACAGTCACCTGCTGAAGTTTCCTGTTTAATTTCCAGGACCAAACAAGCCCCTAATTATACCTGTAGCTACTTGGTGGCCAAGGCCTCTGCTGCCGCTGTGGATCATCACACACACTTGGCCCTTGTGATCTATGCCCATCTTCTTGGCAGCATACTCGTTATAAATGTCATCTACAACCTGGATCTCAGCATAATGGTTTCCTGCTCCCAAAGTCCCCAGCTGTCAAAAGAGTATGGGAGAGCTTAGTTAGAAATTGAGCAGACACCAAGAAGAAGAAAATCAGAACTGCAGTTTCCACTGGAAAGGCCTAGGCAGTGGCCTGCCAGTCTTTAATGAAATCCAGACCTTCTGAATTTCAACTCCGAACATTCCTGATGAGTGGCTATGCTAGCAGAGAATTTTGGTACTCAAAAGTACAAAGTATCTGTACTTCTCTCTTCTGCCCATCTGTTTCATACTACACCACATATTGCTAGAGGAAACATTACTGCTCAGAGCAAAGGAATTTGACAAGAAGCTTGACGTCTATTTGACAACAGGCTGCAATACACTGCAACATATTTGTTCCCACTTAAAACTATAAAAGAATGTAGGTTTCTTTGCTGCGTTATACTAAAATGCCACACAATCCAGCCAGCATCTTCAACTACAGTTAAGTCAGATGTTGCTAAAGTTCAAACATGGGGCTTTAGGGAAAATACCTCCACTTTCCAAATGCTAAAGAAAGGTTTTTTGTTTATTTCTCAAACATCTAAGCCATTTTCAAAATATATTTGCCCCCAAACATTCAAAATTCAAAGCCAGCCAACTGAAAGGTGAACCCTGAGTACAGCAGAATAAAACCCCCCTTGACAGAAGATGGATTGAGATAAATGGTCTTAAGGACCTATCTAAAATATGACAGGAAGGGAGGTAAACTATTCTGGAGGAGTGATTTCCATAAATAAAGGGCCACTGCTGAAGCAGTCCTGTAAATACACAGAGGTTGTATTTACAGTTTTCCCAATCCTCCCCTGCTCCCAAACCATGTAGTTTAACAGCCGGTGGCAATTCATTCCTTATGTTTCCAACATGCTATCAGAATAGTACACCATTGGTACACCATAGTTTGGTTTGTATACTATATAGCTTTTCTTTTTTAGGAAATTTCTAGATACAATTTAAAACATCAGGATGTGGAGCATAGCATAGTTTGAGAAACAAGTCTACCAACTAGTCTAGTGGCGGAGATCAGTATCCCTAGTCAACCTTTATCCTCATTGAATGTTCCTGCTCTACTGAAACCCACCCCCAAAATAAGCATAAGCCATTCACCTGAGGCAGCCCCCGCTTCTTAGCTCTTGCTGAGACTTTATTTGGATCAGCTTGCAGCATCCTCCCATATTCTTCACAGTGTTCTTTATCCTCAGCCCAGGCATAGCCTTCTCGTAGGGACCAGTCTACCCCCATCTCCAGAGCTTCCTCCAAATCCCTGAGAGAGAGGAAGAGAGAGTGAGAGGGCTGCATTAAGGAGTTCAAAGTCAAAACGATGGACCATAACAATGATTCAGGGCTGCAATTTGCCAGACAACCAAAACTTTTGCTCAAGACATGCAGTCACAGAAATATGCCCACCTTCATAGCTAAAGTACATTGAAACACAGCCCATTGTACAAAAAGCCCATCCAAGCATGTACGCTCCAACACCAAGCCTGGGGAGACTAGGCTGGGGTGTTCATGGCTGTTGGATTGGCTTACCCAGTCCTTGTTTATATGCCATTATTTTTCTTCCTATGAGAGTGGGATCAGCCGTGCCTGATCTGCTTCCCCTGTTCCAAAGAGATGGAGGAGCACATGGCAGCTATCTAGTGCAGGAGTTGTTATTTGTGGCCTTCCAGATGTTTTGGCCCTGGCCAATCCCTCACCACTGTATAGTGGCTAGGGGTGATGGGGTTTGGAGGTCACCTGACCCCCTGATCTACTGCAGTATGCTTCCCCCAGCAATTCTCTGGAGACCAAAATATTTGAACAATGACTGTAAGCACCCAAATTAATGATGGTGGCTGGTGAAATACAGAGCCTAGTCACAGCTGCAACAGCCATGACCTGAGAAGGCAAATTTAGATTGGAACATCCAAGAAGGAGCCTGGCACCCAGAATCACACCCCTACACCCTACCTTAAAATACTTCTTACTGCATTGTATTGCTAGACAGGTCTGTTTGGTTGCCACTAAACTAAGAAAAAAATTAAGATTTGAAATGCATGGGTAGAAATCAATAACCACACATTTACTTCCTCTCTTGCCAGCATCTTAACCCAATGCTTCCATTGGAGGAAAAAAGAGTTTTCTCTTACTTGGCATTCATGGGGATGACACCCTTGGATCCCACACCAACAGGAATGTGGTCAAACATGGACTGTGCAAGCTGTTCTTTCACCGGCTGGACATCACACTCATCAAGGTTGGTGCGCAGCAGTCTTACCCCACAGTTGATATCAAACCCTACACCACCTGCATGAGTAAGCACAACATATCCTTCAAAATTCATCCAAGTAAGCCCCATGCGCAGCTGCTCATACTATGAACACAGAACAAATTAACAGTTAAAAAAAAAGCATTATAAGACCAGCTACAGCTAAATCACATCAAGCAAAATTTCATATACTTCCCGAACTTGGGCAAGTACAATCCACTCTGCGTGAACTTAGAAAACAGACATTGTAGCAATAAAACCCTTTCTGTATCTTTTAATTAACCCTTGTAAGGGTTATTCTTGCTATCATTACATTTGAACAATATACACTTATGACTCCAAGGCATGCCTACTAGTTTCTAAGTGCATAAAGCTTGTTTTAAGGAAATATTTTTTTTGAAACCGCTCCTTATATTACTGCATTATTGTTAAACATGTACTAGTCATGAATTTCAGAAAGGCCAATGAGCAAATAACCAACGCAGGCTAAAAGATGCTCTGAGACCACTTGCTCAAAGATGTATCTCCCTAATTTTTAAATAACCACAAAGAGGTCATTGGTCCATTGAGGGGGTGCAACCCTTCTTCACAGCAGCATCCATACTGAGCACTTCACTGCCATCAAACTTTCCTGGGCCACATCAGTGCTAGTTTGAACAGCTCTGCTAACTTCGAAACATGCAAATCTGGCCTTTTAAAAGAAATGTGTGTACCTGGCCAATTAACCTGGCTGTGCTTTTATTCTGCTACACTGGGTTTTTTTTGGTCATTTTTGTTAGTTTACTGTTCTAGGCTTTTGCTGTAAATTTCTTTTACAGCTTACCATATGGTACAATGAGAACAAATATAAAATGTTTATCTCACTTTCAGAACAAGAGTAAAAGCTGTATTTTTTGTAAAGCTGATGTGGTGCTGGAAACACCCCAATCCTCTATCGAGGCCACTGCTTAGAAACCACAGGTTTACTTGCAACTTAGATCATCCATCTACAATGTAGCTGCATCAGAAGATTACTGTGAAAATACACTTTGCTTTCCTAGATGGTTTTGATACCCAGCACAGATCTTAAGGCTCCCTCCCAACCCAAGTGGCATTCCATGTAAAGAGCCCTTACCTGGGGATACCACAGCCTGCGGGTCATTCATGTCAAACGCAGCCATGTTACCAATGGCAAACCCATAGCCAGAATGGACATCAGGAAGTCCTATTGATCTCTGAAATACATTTTTTAAAAGAAAAGCAATCAATCTGTCTGAAAATAGAAGCAAATAAGGTTTATGTGACATTAGGAACTCAGCTCTCCTTGTTCTAGAACCACAGAAAAGCATTCAAAGATCCACTATCCTTTGTTTCTAACGAAGACTCGTGAAGGGAAGATTACAAGTGTTGATACTAATACAGGCAAGTTTGCATCTCACAAATTAAAGAAGAATATAGACATTGAGCTGTCATCTTGTCTGACTGCTCAGATGCATGCACCAAAAACTGTCCCAACTGGTCAGTTTAACAGTATCTGACATTACAAGAAGAATGAAAAGGCCATTGCTGAAAATGCAGCTAACATTCTACTGCAATCCACATGTGCATTCACTGTCTATGGGACTTCTACTGTGGACAAATGAGTCTCAGATAAAGCACTAAGTTTCCAAAGCAGTCACTCACGTGCACTATGCCAGGAAGTGCAGCAACATTTCCGATTTGCTTCATGGCAGGCAGGAAACCACCAGCACCTGAGGAAGATAAGAGGCAAATTATTTCCCTTTCCTATCCAAACAACATGTGGCTATGCTGGACTGCAGCCATAATTACATCTGCCTTCCTTTAAATCTTGCACTTCTGTTAAAAACACTGCCAACTGCATAATGAAGAATTATGTTTCTGGTCCCCAGCATAGCACCTGTGGAGATATGCAATAGCATCCTCCAAGCTTAAAAATGGTTTTAATTAATCAAGAGGCCTCCTGGCCTATTTCCACTTCTTTTACTTAGTTTCTTTCCTTCCCAGCCTCTGATCTTGATCTTTTTCTCCACAACTCCTTAACCCTTTCTTCCCAGATTCAAACCTTGCTCCTTCTCTTCCATTTACATAATTACTTTGCTATTTTTTCCCTTTCCTCTCATCCTCTAGTCTCATTTCTTCTTTCTCCTTCCCCTCTTTAGCAAACTTTCTAGCAAACAGCTTTTACCCATTAGTCTCTAGCTCACATCCTTCATGCAAGCTATTCTTTGGTAGTACCCACAGCAGTTGCTCAAATTCCCGAACATATCCATGCATCCAAAAAGTTGGAAACACCAGCACAATGTAGATCAGGTGTAAGATGAGTTGCCTGCTTTTTGGCATATCCCAGATGCCAACAAAATGTTTCAAAGCTATGGTTAAGGGATATATGGTTTCATTTCAATGCATTTAACCTCCCTGTAGCTTGCCTCAAAATATTAGCACAAGCAAGCATAATTAAGCCACAGGATTCCACATATGTCTAAGTGAGCTTCATTTTTTATTTTATTATGAAGCATGTTTCTTTTTTTTCATTTTATTATAGTATCACAAGTCTGGAGAAAATATTTACTTACATCTCCCCAAATATTTTTCCTTAAATAAGATTAATTTCTAAAGTGCCTGAGCTTATAATGAGCCTGCATTCCAAAATATATTTGTGGAACATATGATGTGTCTTGATTCATCAAAGGAGAAGAAAGCTAATTTGGGGTTGGGATCTTTCTATCTCAGGAACAAATGAAATTGGGTGGTAACAGGATGCACATACCTCCACCTCGACATGCATTCCTTAATTCTTCAAACATTAATTTCTCTAAAGGATCATTCACATAGAAAACACCCTCCACCTAGAGGCAGGCAAAAGGAAAAGAGAAAAATTGTCACACTCAACACTAATTCAAGCAGGAGACAGAAAGTAACTCTACCTAGAAAGCCACATCAATTTTCACAATTGTGCTTTTAAACTTTGTTCTTACTAAAGGTTTAAATGGCCTAAACTTAGCAATCCTATAAAGCTTTGATGAAGAGGAGTTATAGAAGTTGACTGCAATAACCAACATTTTATATGGCTCAAATCATGGAAAATAACACATTTTCCAGATTCACAGATAACACCGGTGCTGCAGCTGTGGCTTTGGTTAGCAATCTGCAGCTAGAACTCAGACGGAGAACTGTATCCTACAGATTATCCAGGCTTTAATGCCATCCACCATAATATATTAGTATTGCAGTACTGAGATTGCTCGAGTGGTTTTATTAGTCCTTGAGGGTGTGCCTTTAAAATAGTAATGCATCTAACATCTCTACAGACCTTCCTTACAGGGTCTTACAGTCTCCCACATTATTTTTCTTCTGCCTAATGCATGTTGTGAGCCGCCCCGAGGCTTCGGCGAATGGGGCGGCATAGAAATGTTTTAATAAATAAATAAATAAATAAATAAATATTAGGTTGCAGGGTAAAAACATGGCTCATATTTCAAGGGGATGCTGTCCTCAAGTGAAGCATACCCAATGCTGAATTCTTGCCCTGCAACCTTTAAACTCTTTCGCTGTTCAGATGTACAAGAAAGTCAACAGAAGCAGAGTCAAAGTAACTCTAAAATGGTTTTAACAGTTTCATGTTGCTAACTGCTGCTGCCTGCACCAGATTTTATCTTTTGTATTTTATTAAATTTTGTTTAAATGTATTAACATTATTTTAAATAGTTTAACTTAGTGATTATTTAATTTTATGTCAATTTTTATTTATTTTACTTTTACTGTTTTTAAACACAGATACTGTTTAACTGTATTATGTATAATGTACCACTTTTAACTGTTGCTGCAATATGTATAAGCAGCCCAGAGAGCCTTATGGCTAATGGGGTGGCATGTAAGTCAAATAAATAACTAAATATTTATTTAAACATTTCCCTTTAAACATATTGGGAAATGCCTATCAGGGGTTGAGATTTGTCTCACCAATAAACTTAACTGCTTTAGGCTATAATTTTCAAGACCCATGTCTTAAATTGCACACCAATTTCACTTTTACTTTAAAATGATTAGAAATTGATTAAAGCCTCATGTTCATTTCACTAGATAAAGAAGGTTCCAGAAGAACTTGGATCAAATGCAGCTTTTGCACAAGAAAAAACCACAAACTGGCAAGAGGCAGGGAAGCAAACATTCAAGAATGACTTTAAAATGCATGTTCTTAAGACTGCTATTTAAGGGTAATTATGTGGCATTTTCAGGCTGCAACCACAACTGCCTCTATCTCAGGAGTTTGCGAGTGCATATATACACATATATGTGCACCTTGCATTTTATATAGTATATATTTTGTAAGATTCAGGTAAGTATTAAAACCTATATGAAAAACTTAGTGACAGTAAAAATCATAGCAAACTTCAACTACACCGTCCGTTAGAGGCCGTTCTCGTCCCCCAAACCCTCCACAGTACACGGGGAGAACCCGCTGTCGCTCTTCGTCCGTGAGCTGGCAGTCTGCGCCCACTCAGAGAAGCCTTAATTATTTCTTCTCGAGTTCGTCCATTAGAAAGGACCTGGGACTAAGCAGCAGCTCAGATGAAATGCGCCCATATCCCCCCCCCCCCCACAAGCCTCACGTTCATGTTGGGCACGAAGCCCTTCTTGATGCGCCAGCAGTTCTTGTCCAGTTTATCCAGGTACTGGAGCTCATCATTGTAGCTTCTGCTCATGATGGTGGAAATGCCGAGCCGGCGCCTTTTGTTGTGTGCAGGGAGCAAACTTCAGTCACATACACACTCGCTCCCCGCAGCGCCAGTACGGAAGCCGACGAGGCAGTGCGCAGCCTCCCTAAAGGCGACCGGCGAAGCCACTCCTAGACCGACCAGCTTCATCTACGGTAGCCACAAAGGCTCAAACTACGTCATTCATCCTTTGCTCCCCACCAATGGGTTCGTATTTTTGTCAGCGCCGCCTAGTGCCTACAGAAGGAAACGCGTCGAACCGGGCTAAGTGGGAGAGGACGACGCCTGGGAGGAGGGAGAGTGGCCACATGTCTTCTTCTACAGAGAGCAGTCCTCTTTTTGGAAGGCTGCGGAGACAACTACCAACACATACAATGAAAAGCAGGACGAGGACTTGTCATAGATCTCCGGGAGCATTTTATTTCTGATAGTTACTACAGCCCAAAGGAGACTTCTTTCTAAGAAGATCTGTTTTCAGAGCAAACCCTAATACATGTAAAACCTGTATGGGTTGTTTCATAACATGCTTAAAAATTTATAAACTATAACCAGAGACACGCTGAATGTATGGATAAATGCACTAGCGCATTTACCAAATTGCCAAAAGGTCATTTTCATGTCTTTTTGATATGCAGAGTCCATGAACTCCAGTTAGTTTCTTCTAAGGGCTATTTTCACCACCATTAAGGATGGCAGGCACCATATGAAAGGCTGGTATTGTAAGAGAAGCAACAGAGAACAGACCAGGTGAGCATTACATAATAATAATAGGACTTCTCCCCTCATGGTATACTTTGCTTGCAAGTCCTTCTCTGCTTTCAGGGGGCAGGAAGTTAGATAGCTATTTCTAGCATAAACATAAGGATCAAATAAGATTTCACCTGATGTCTAAACAATGATGCAACAAACAATGCATATCAAGTTTTTTAATGAAAAAGGCAAACAAATATTTACTCCTACAAGGAGGAAATATTACATTTCTAACAACTGTAAAAATCTAGATTGAAAAGATGCTTTCCGAGCTATGGGTACAAACAGTTCATGTTTACATTAGTCGCACAGAGCAAGAGGCTTAGAGATGGTGTAGAAGTAACGCCAAACCATAATTCAGTAGAACGCGAATTAGTCCAGCAGGGCCCTCAGCTTTATACCTTTTGTCTGCATGGCATTACCCAGTTGCCTGGCAGACTTAAGTCTCTCTGGCTTGTAAGCAGCATGTAAACTGTCTACAACTGACCCCCATTGCATTTTACTACAAATGCAAGAATATTGGCAGGCTCTGCTATTTTGCACACCATGTGGGTTTCATTAGCTGGAAACAGAAACATTTTTGTTTGACTTTGCACAGTGAGCTGCTTAGGACTGCCTATGCTCAGCACACCCTTGAGGCCACAAGAGAATGACAGCAAGGTGCAACATTAGCCTGTGATTGATACGGTCTGGTTTACATATAGCTGCCTTCTGTACTTCGAAGCTCCTTCAACCTTCCTTTGGAAGGCTTGATTTCCTTGCCCCAGTCATCTTCACTGTCCTCCTCTGAACCCTTTGTCCAAGTCTTTAAAATTCTGTGTGCCACTAAGAAGGTACTAATTATAAAATGGAAACCAACAAGACTGCAGATAGGCTGATTTCTGCAAAGTTGCTGAGCTGTCAGTTGGAAAGGGGAGAGATGGTGAAAGTAGGTGCATGGAAAGGGGGTAGTGACAGAATCATCTCCTTAACGGTGTCATCCTAGTTTTTAAGTGTTGAACTGATGGGTCTCAGGGCCCTCCACATTTTAGACCCTTTGCCAAATCTCAAGCTGCTACAGAAACAGTTCCTGGAATTACTGTGGCTACTGTACGTTTGTGAGTCCAGAGAAATGCACATTCTTTGGGCTAGTAAATACATGCAAATTTAATGGCTGGGAAGTAACAGGAAAATAAATTTGTGCACTTGCAGTAACCATTCCATTACTGCAGGCACACAAATTTTCCTTTCATTTATTGTCCTGCTATTGAACAGGTACACATTTCCTTAACAATTACTTCCCGACTCTTAATTTTGCACATATTTCCCCATCCAAAGGAATTTGCATCTATTCTCCTCAGTTAAAAATGGCCTTAGTGATACAGAATGGGATGGAGCAAATGGAGCACCAGCAGTACTTACACCTCCACCCACCAAAGGGGGACCATTCACTTGGTTTCATCCAGCTGCCTCCTCAAGGATTTCTTTTCTTTTCCTCTTTTTAGTACTGTCAGAGAGCCATGGTTACTGCAGCAGGAAGCGCTCTGAAAAGCGCCAGAGAAGGAAGATAATATTTCCCCTTTCTGCAATAGTGGAATCTAAGGGAAGTATTGAAATGATAGAGGACTGTAAGAATGGCCAGTTCAGCATTTAAAAGCTGGAGGATCACACTGCTAGGTGGCTGATGTTGCCACTCCCTTTTGGTGGACCTACATTTGGTGCTTTTTCCTCTGTATGTTTTAATTGGCAGCTGGCAACTGTTTGGAAATTACCCTACAAGCAATCTCACCTTGACAGTCCCTTACCTATTCTACTTCTCTTACAGGGCCATTGACAAGGCCAGAGTGTATATATCAGATAGCTGTAAACACACAGTTAGGAACCAGTGAAAGACTGTTTATCAGGATCTGCAGAGCTACCCCTGGTGGCCAGATAGAGAAGAAAACTTGGTTTACCTTGCAAGTACTTGCAGGATTAGCATTAGATTTGTAGTGCTTGCAGGATTAGGGCCAGGAGGCTTTATAAAAAAATTTATCCCTCCTGCTTTGCTTTGCTACAAGATCATGAATCTTCATGATTGCTGCTTTGTGTTCCTGATTTGGTTTCTGCTGTCAGTTCTGTTGCTGTCAGTCTTGACTCTTGCCTGGTCCTGACTCTGCCTTTGCCTCTGTTCCTACAACATCTTGCCAAGTACCCAACTCTTGCCCGAGTAAGGCTTGGCCCTCTTCCAGCTCCATCACCCCTGGTGCTGGTGTTCTACCCAAGAATATCTGTCACTTCTACCCTAGTGCTGCACAACAAAAACTAATTTAAAGAAGATGAACACATTAGTACAATTTTCTGAGGCTGAATTCTTGAAAGGGTGGGAAACCAGAGAGTCACCCCCAAATGCCACATGGGCATTGGAGGAGGGGCTGTCACTGATGGTGGCAAGGCCAAGATTGTAAATGGCAAGGGGGGTTTGCCACTCCTGCCAACCTGCTGGCTAGCCAGTTCCCAGAGTCCATGATGGAAGCGGTGTCCCACATTCAGGTGTGATAAGCTATGGCGGATTGAACAATCCCTAGAACATGCTGAGGGTTGTCAGGGTTGGTTTTGCCCCCAAATAAGCCACCCTTGGTTGGTTTGGACAACATGACAACCCACCATGGCCAGTTCCCTACGCAGGTTTCTTGTCTCTGTCTCGTTCTCTGTCACACACAAACACACACTTTCCCCAGTTTTATTAATCCTCTTTCCTGTTACCTCTTCCCCCTTACATCAAAACACAAAAAAATAGTGAGGGCTTATGCTTCTATCACAATAACATCTTCTGGACTTGCTAGCAGATCACGCTGGCGTCTCTCAATGTCACTGGATTTGTAGGACACGTCAGTGGAAATCAACAAGTAGCCCTGAGAGGATAGGGAAACATTTATTCAAAGTTACCACAAGTTGCAGGGGGCTAATAGCTTGCCTGTAGCTAACACCCCCTCAGACATATTGTGAACTGATGCCCCCCCCCCCCCCCCCCCCCGCACATATACTGCTTCTGCTACATAATTTCATCTGTTTCAATGCAGAGGGGGAGTTTGGCTCAGCAACTATGCTTGGGCAGGTTGCTCAAAGTGGGATACAATAGATTAAAAAGCAGGCTGTTAGGTTCCCTCTCTTTCTATAGAGACTGGGTTTGCCAGAGCCACACCTTTTAAAAGGAAGCTGTACTTTGACAGCCAGCTCTTTCATGGCCGTCAGCTGCACTTGATAGAATTGGGTGTTATGCCCAATTTCTACTGCTGCTTTTTGAGGTGTGTCTACATAAACACACGCCCCAGTTGTGGGGAACATGCAGCCCACTGGCAGTTTTTGAATCCCTATGCTGCATTTCTCCTGCTGAATCCAGCAGTGATTCAATTAAAAAGCATTGTTAAAATTTGAAATGGAGAACGGGTAAAAATTGTCCTTTGTACCCTCTTTCTTTTCCACCACTCCTGAATTCTTTCCTGATTTTAAAATATAAACGGAAAGCAGTCTTGTGGACTGCAGGATATGTGCTGGTTTAAAAGCACTGGGGAGTATTTGTAATTGAAATTAGAATGCTGGCCAAGCTTTGTCAGAATGACAAAGCAGACTTCAATATCCTTATCTGTGTAGTGTGTCCGTTCTTTCCTGATCTCAGCAGTCCAGCAGCCCACGGACTGCAGGTGATGAAAACATGCCGACTTACCAGCAAGTCCTCCAGCCCCAGGTATTTGTACTCCCATCATGTCTCCCTAACCAACTTGCTTTGTCTCTCTTGGCACATCGGGCAGGAAATTGAGGGCACTGCAAAATCTCACCTGGTGAACCGTTACAGCAGGATTCACAAGAATCATTTTGTCCAACAGAGGCAGAGGAAATCCTTCCTTCAGTTTGGCTTAATAAAAAGAGGGAGAGATTTCCCAGGATCTGTTACTAAATAATAATTAACAAGCTTAACAGCTTTTGCAGTGGTGGCTGCAATAACATCCATTGTTTTAAAAGGCAATCAACAAGCGATACACGGCTCTTGAAACAAGAACATGAAAAAAAAATCCTAGTTTTGGGTTCATTGTTCCTATAAACTGGGGCAGTACTGCTGCCCAGTTTTAGAGATGGAAAAGTGAAGCACTGACACAGTATATGTGTGAGTATTTTGTTAGAATTATGCTTCAGTTCAGTGAACTGTTGTTGGGAATGTAACATGAACAAGACTTGCAGTATTTGCCCATATATATTATATATACTTCAAGGACTGTAGGCAGAGTTTTAGTCCAAGTCCCATCCATTTCAACAGGTTTACTCTAAGTAGGGCTAATGTTGGATATGACCAAGTTTTCACTTTGCAATTGCTTTGCACTTAGCACCAATTCCTGTGTTGGCTCCTGTACGTTTGTGTCTTCTGCTTTGCTTCCACTTTGATAAACCGCTCAGTGATGCCCCATTCCTTGGTTGTTTGATGCAGCTTCTGAATTTGGAACTCCTGATTGTTGAGGGACAATCAACCCAGAGTTCTAACCCATGATTTGTTCTTGGGCAAAAACGCTAGGTTGTTTGTCACTTAACAACTAGGAGTTCTAGCATAGGATTTTGTATCAAAGAACCCAGGAATGGGTTGTTCTGGGTGGTTTATGAAACCTGATACAAAGTAGAAGTGTTGAGGATGCAGTGTTCTTGCATGCTACCAAACAGCCCCAAGTACCTGTTGGCTGTTTAACCCATGTACGTATGAAGTGAACCATTGTTTTTGATAGCAAGCAAGTGATAATCCACTGCAGGCAGTTCTTCCGTTCCATAGAGAGACATATATTTGATAATTTCATAGAATAATAGTGTTGGCCATTGGTAGAAGGCCATTGTGTCCCATCGCCTGCTCACTGTAGGACTCCTAGCAAAACCATCCCTCTCAGGCTCTGGTTGCATCTTGAATGCCTCCAGTGTGAGAGAGCCCACAATCTCTCTAGGTAATGGGCTCCATTGTTGTACTGCTCTCCCAGTCAGGAAATCTATCCAGCCAGATTCTATCCTGTAACTTGAGCCCATTATTCTGTGTCCTGTACTCTGAGATAGTCTGGAAATAAATATTCCCCAGATTGGAGACAAAGACACCTTGAACAGCAGTGGCATGTATTTATGTACAGATGATTAATAGGGTGTATACAGCAGAAGGGAAATTGTGGCCTCCAGATGCTGTGCGACTCCACCTTGAAACAGCTCCAGGCAGCATAGGTAGTGATCCAGAAAGATGGGAGCTGTAGTTCAACAACATTTGGAGAGTCATAGATTGCTCAACATACTAGGTCTTCTGACAGAGAATTGAACTGGAATTGTAGTTCACAGCATGAGGTTCTTTATGATCTTATTGGAACATAACTGTCTACTGTTTGTCATGACAAATGCCAGATGATCATGACACTTCAGTAAGACAACAAATTTTCAATGACATCTTTTAAGTTATTCTCCAACCCCTTGGTGAGTTTTATTATTTTCCAGAGACTGCAGCTATTAGAAAACAGTGGGAAGAAACAATCCAAGTGCTCTACTTACCATTAGCAGCTGGAATGACTCCACTTCGTAAAATGTAAGAAAAGAAGTTCTCCAAAAGAGAAACCTGTAATATGAAAACATTTTGATTTAGTGAAGGCAGAGAGGAAAATGCATGTGACCTGGACCACTTGTCAGGTTTGTTATAATGAAGATTGATTGATTGATCAGGACCACAAGAAAGCAGGGCTGGAACAACTGTTTATGTACAGTAGCCTCAGTCTGAATCAGGGACCCACATGTTTACTTCAGAGTAAAATATGAGAGGGTCAGCTGCACATTATTATTTTACATATCTTGGACCTGGCTTCCTTAACTCCCTTTTTATGAACTGAACTTTACCTTGAAGAAGCCAACCCTAGAGTGAACCAAGGAGAGCTGGAAACTGTGAAAGGAAAGAAAAAAATTTTGCATTGATTACTGAACATGAGAAAAATTATCACTTAATAGTAATCAAGAGCCAATTTGGCATATGAATGGATCAGCAAATAAATAAATATGAATTGGTTGTCATACTTGTCTGGGGAGGCCATAAAGTTTACTTGGCAATTTTGGGCCAGTTACCCACATCTTAACTTTCATCATAGGTTGGTTGCAAGAATAAAATAGGAAGAGGTATTGCATCTGAGCACTGTCAAATAGTTTTTAAAATAAGGCTAATTAATCTGCCGTTTTACTTTCAATTTTGTTGCAGAATTAAGATTGGAATTCTACACATTCTCCTTTGCTGCCTTACTTCCTGCTACCTCTAGGTGGCACTCTGGTGTAGCAGAACACCACAATGGCACTGGTGGGTACTTGTGCTTTGTTTCATGATGCCAAAGCATACCAGATTTTTCCTGTTTTCACCCCCAACCCAAAGTGGGATGCTCTTTAAAAACAGAAAAGAAACTGGAGGGTCATGACATTGTATAAAGCACTAACAAACAGCCATGCGTGAGGAATAATGGGCACACAATCAAAGCCTCCTCTAGGAAAGCTCAAAGACAGGATCCTGCTTAGACAGACTGGCTCATTTTGACTGTTCTTATGTTATCAACAGATGTATACTCAGAAGCACCACCACCTTCAGAGGGGCTTACTTTCAAATAAGCATACTTGGACTGTGCTTTACTTCTTGTGAAAGGCCACTTTAAACAAATCCTGCCATCTCTAGAATAGGTAGTTTGTAAGAGCAAGACTAATTTTGGTATGGCTTTGAAAAAATTTGGTGAGTTAGCAATAATTAACCAATAACTTAAATTCACAAAATACAGAGAAGGAACAATGAGAAAGAGTTAGGTATCTTAAAAGTCAGTAGTTCTGCTGGCCAAGAATATACACAGGTGGTCTAAAGGAAGACAGAAAATCATAAGTTTCTTATCGATTGCATCATACTGCTGGACTCATTATTGCACTGTGCTCCATTACAATGCTTGCAAGGAGCCAGCTCCTACAAGTGCTGGCCAAGTCTCATTCTGGTCCACTTGAACCCCTCCTAGCATGTGAGCAGGGCAGGAAGAAGCTGCTCAACTCACACAGTGCTTGTAGCAGCCAGTTTCTGTAGGAAGTAGTCAAGTTTCTTTCAGGGCAGAGAGCGGCATGGGTGTGTAACACAATACCCCTGGATTGACCGTCAATGGTGAGTTGTTGCTGAATCATGGGTTGCTGTGTGAGTGCAGCAATGCTAACAAACCATGATTTGTTAATCACAAACTACTGAACAACAAATCATTGGTTATCTTTACAGAATCTACCATAAACTGTGGTTTCTGGGATCCTCTCCTGGGGACTATATGATTGCTCTTTTATTGTTTTAAATGGAGTGGCATCTTTAAGTTGTAGAGTCATCAACTCAGGTGGACTCTTGATACACAGTGGGTTAAAAGTCCTATTACCTGTGAAGACATAAAGCAGGTACCAGATTCTTTTCAAAGATCGTCAGGCTGGCATGTGTTCTGGCTGTCTGCATAAAACAAAATGACTCTGTTTACTGTACAAAGTACTCATCTTTTATAATCAGGTAAACACACAAGGCCTTTCTATAAAGTTCTCCTTCTCCACAATACTCACATCACTTGCTTTTTCAAACTAAGCCTAAAAGCCTGTCTTATGGGATGCATTCATTGCTCAGAATGCCTATTTGGCTTGGATGAAGAGGTAATAGACTCAGTACACATTGGACATCAAAGATCCAATCCTGCAGTTGTTATTTATTGATTTAAAGCACACACACAACAGCACTAATGATGCATGAACAGCATTAGGCATATAACATGAGAACAGCAAAGAAAGTGGTAAGGGACCATGACATGGGAAGCCCAATGAAATGAAGAAAAACAGGCACATAGGAGGGTTTTAATGGAAGATGCAGTCACAGTGGCTGCCAGCCATAATGGCTACTTATTACCGCTGAATACCAGTTGCTGGGGAAAAAAGGAAGGTGGGTGCTATTACACCGATTGTGGGCTTCCCATTTGGCTATCTGGTCAGCCACTGGTAGGCAGGATGCCAAACAAGAGAGACCTTTGGCCTGATCTAGCACAGCTGCTGTGCTCCTATGGATTGACTCTACGGCGGGGGTACTTACTATGTTCAAGGTGAACATGGACTGGGTGGTCGAGTTTGGCAGGACAGCCAGCATCTCCACGGAGGCGGCTAACTCAAGCCTGAAACTGGCATTGTGCAGATGGATCACTGGTGCAGCAGTAGCTACGATGTTCATCATTACTGGAAGTGGCTCTGCATAACGATCAGCAACCTGTGATGTTCAAAAGAAAAGGGGTGGATAAGTTTTGACTGGATTTTTTTAAAAAGCCAGTTAATTATTTTAAGAATGTATTTTGGAGCAGGCATTCATGCACATTTTTCTCAGGCATCAAGATACAAAGGCACATACCGTGGGAAGGATGCTGCCAAGAGTGTCTGTAGTTACCTTGAAGTAAGAGGAAAGCTGAGGAATAGAATTAAGGGTTAGATCTTTGTGCCAAACATGTTTTACTAACAAATATGATATTGATTTGGTTCTCTAGCTAGCTTGCAATCGATTTTGTCACCAAAAGCAACATTTGCTGCTGCCTTTTCTCTACATATCTCTGTTTAGCATAAAACTTTAGTACACGGGGTAGTAATAATCTAGTTCAATCTTCAAAGATTTCTTCTACTTCCATCAGTATGAGCAGTAATGCAAGCATTGGTGGGATGGGCATGTGGGTCTTAACATGTCCTTGCTCAGAAAATATCTGAACTGTTCTTCTTTAAATCTCTTTTAACAAGTTCTGCAGATCCCCAGACCTTGTGCACAGCAGTCCAAACACTGACTGGTTCTAAAAAAATAGTGTGCTTTTTAAACTGACCAAAAGGAGTAGCAATTTATGTAACAGGCAAGGGGTGAGATCACAGCTCAACATCCTGTGGATTTTCTTTGAAACGTGACATGAGTCAAGAGGTATTGGTGAATTGGGAATCTCACCTGTGAAATATAAGAAGATGGGTAAATTAAATTGGCATTTCCTGGTGGGAAAGGCAGGTTCTAGGCCTATTGCAAGAATTACCTTGCCCTTGAAGCATTCTAGAGAAGCATGCTTCTGCCAAAGGAAGAATCCCATGAAGGGAAAAAACTGACAATCACAAGTTTTGATAGCTTACCACAAATGTAAGTGGAAATAAAGCTTTATGCTATGGGTATCCAGTGCTGCTGTGCGTTAGCACTGAACCCATTGATTGCACTGGTAGGAACCCAAGCTAGCAGGAGAGACAACTAGCGCTTGCTGGCATAACACCGAGCACTGGTCCAGATGAGCATTTCTGGGAAGGGCTGAGTTCGCAGACTTGTCCCATTCCAAAAGCACTAATTTGGACTAGTTTCTGGTTGCGCTACCAAGCGCTAGCCCCTGTTGCACTAGTGTGCATTTCTGCTAGTGGTTTAGCGGCATTGTAGGATACAGCCCAATATATCTCCAGCTTTACTTTTCAATTTTCTTACTTTTCATGCCAGCCTCTACAACTTGCTCACCTCATCTGCAGTAGAAGCATTGAAAGCTCCACAAGTGAAATAAGCGAGTGAAGCGGACTGAAAGAAATACTCTGAGACTCCTATGTAGAACATGCAGTCCATAGTCTCTGGGAGAGTGAAAGGGGCTGGCTTGATGGGGGGCTCTGTGACCTTTCCCACTGGGTAGACCGTCCCCTGCAATGAGAAAATATCGTAGCTTTCTAAGTAAAGACTCTTAAAACTAGGGACGACAAAAAAAATCAAGGATTCCACTTATCAGTGGGCATGCCATGTGAAATTAGGGAAACCACAAACAAATAATTTTGTTGCTGATGGAATAACGATTAAGCAAAGGTAATGCAAGCTCTTGTTTTCTAATTCTCCATTTTTGGGGGCAATGCTATGGTCCCTGGACAGCATCTGAGGGCCCATAGGATGCTTTGGATTCCAGATGTGAGGTTAGAGGAAGGGCATCTACCTCAGAAGGGGGGATCCATAGTCTGTCACCCTCGTGCAGGGGGCATTTCAGTGGGTGGGGAGGGAAGAGGAGGCTGGAGGCCAGGGGCTTCTTCAGCCGCCTTTTTCCCTCTCCAAAACAACTTTACTAGTCAGGCCAAAAATAAAAATGCTTGATGTGAGGACAGAGAAGAGATAACCACCCCCAGTGCTCCTGCTACCCTGCACTGGATGAGTGTAAGTCTCTGAGTCTGCTGGGGACAGAGGGTGGCTGGCTGGTGGCTACAAGGACATAGAAAAGAGGGGGATAGTTAGACTGGGGTCAACAGAGGATCAGAGGTTTGTCCTGATTCTTTAAAAATATATTTTAAACCCCTTGGAGAACTAAGATAAACAAGGGAGAAAAAACCATGGCAAGCTGTTGAACAGATGATCATTTGTCAGGAGTAATGGACTCCTGGCTTCTTCTCTGGGTGGCTTAGTGCAACATGCAAACTTGCCCTATGAATATCAGCTCTTCCTGCTCCGTTCAGTTGTTTTTAGCCCTTGGAGAGGATCAGAAGGCCTGCCGTTAGGGAAAGGGTCCTGCACTGTACAACCCATTAACTGCCATGCTGGGTTGCTGGGGTGTATCTTTGGATGGTTGCGTCCCTTGTAAGATATTTTGTACCTCTGTATAGTCTGAGGTTTCCTCAAGTAGGCAAAAGCTTTCATCTTGTTTGTGGGTGGGACCATTTTGGCCACAAAGCTGTTGGCACTCACTGCCCAAGTTTGTGGCGAGAGGGAATAACAAGAACTTGTGAAAATATATCAGTGGTGAATTTTCTGAACTCAATTTTTGCTGTGGTTTGCTGATTGAGACAAAAGCCATCAAGCTCATTCCTTCAAATGAAGAACAGCATGTCTTAATTCATTAAAGATGATTGGGTCACCTTTAAATCCAGGGTAATGGATGAGCTGAAGACAGCTGGTGCTTTTGCCAGGGAGTAGTCTATTACTGCGAACTCGTCGATCTGGTTTTGGGCTGTTGAGGTACAGGACAAAAGCAGGAGATATGATCAGATAACAATAACCATGTGCTCTCCCTCTACTGATCTAGAAACCATTTTTATAAACCCACAGTGATAGGCTGTGCTTTTTTTGTCACAGAACGCACCGGAACGGAGTTCTGGCACCTTTTTTCGACAGATTTTACAAGTTTTAAAAGTAACTTTTGAAAATTTGATGTTTGGTCCACGTAGATTTGAATTGGCCAGCCAAGCATAGCAAGTCGGCGGCAAAATCGTTAAAATGGCGCATGCAGGCTGCTTGTGTGTCGAGTCCGATGCATGCGCACTTCGTCTGCGCCGGTTGTGATGGTGCTGCTTGGCTTGTGGTGCTGCTCAGCTTGTGATTGGTTGTGTGGTCGCGCGCTGAGTGCTTACTGTGGGCGACGACCGTTATGTTTCGTTACACAACTGAGGTGTGTGGGTGTGCGTACAGCGATTGACTACGTGCGAAAGGTAAATAATTTCATGAGTTCCAGCACCTTTTTTCTTATAAAAAAAGCACTGGTGAGAGGACTGTCCCTTCCCCGTCCATCATTTGGGCTGCATGTTGGACTCCTGCTCATTACAAGATGATCACAGATGCTATTTGAAAATCCTTTTCTGGCTCAAGCCTTCAACTTTATGGGCATATGGTATGGACACATGTGGGAACTGGGGAATTTGCAGTGGTTACCACCACAAAGCAGTGCATTGCTGCTTTGGCATCTGTACCAATCACATCCATGGATCATAGCCAGTGTCTTATTCTGCAAAAGCTTTTGTTCCATGCCTAGAGTCAGCATAAAGATACTATCTTCAAACAGATACTTATTTGGATGTTTGGTCCTCTTTTGTAGAAGTCTATAATATATAGAAAGTTGAATACATTTTATATAAAACTATGTATGCATGTTAAAAAATGGAAAAAATAGTAACTTTTGTACGCTCATGAACTCCACACTAGATACCACCACTATTAGAGGTATATTGGGGTGTTTATTTTGCTAAAAAGTCCAAATAAATGACAAGAAAAAGCAACTTACTTTGATGCTGCTTCAATTCATTATTAAGCCGTTGGATCTCAGAATCAATGCTTGGACATAACTGTATAAATACATGACACAAATATTGTTCAGATCAACACTTAACTTTATAGGTTGGCAAAGTGCCCTTGAAAATCCATCATTTCATGCATTTACATTTGTAGCTTGGACTACCCTCAGTACTCAGAATAACAGCGATCTAAAAATATTCCTGTCCATAGTGAAAGAATTCTGTTCATATCAGATGAATTCATAAAAAGTCTTAAAGACCCACTTAGAATAATGTGGCTGCAGATTTTGGAGGGCATCCGAGCAAAACAGTGGCCTTGAGTCTTGTCTTCTCCCCACCATGGTTATCAGCTGCTCATCCTTTTTTGCTACTGCTTGCTTGCTTGCTTGCCTGGCTGCCAGAGTGTCAGAGAGCCAGTAGGCATAGCATCTGCTGCTCCTCCATCTTACCCTCAGTCCTTGTAAGGGCCAGAGCAACAAGCAAGTGAACAAGCAAGTTGCAGTGGGGAACAGAAGGGGCAAGATTCCTTATCAGTGAATTCCTCAGCAGGTGCAGGATCATGCCTGCAATTGATGCCAGCCCTCCTGAAACATGCACATGGTTATATGATGGGTGTCTGAAAGAAGTCCAAGACATTGCAACCTACCAGAAATCAACCACCCATGGGTTACATAAGCCATGGATTAGCACTACATCACTAAATATGCTTACTTGGCCTGAAAAGATTCATGTTGACTGTGCCTAAGAGTTCCCCGAGGAAGAGGGCATATTTAAAATGCTTTGGGCTGAATAAACGTATTTCTGAGTCCCTGAAGGCATCCTTTATTCTTTTCCTAATGCTCGGTTTCTTTCTTTTTCCTCCCTTCTCACAGGAGTAAAATTAACTCCCAGTTCAAACATTTTGGTGCAGAAAAATTTTTGCAGAAAAGAACTACATCCTGAATAGCCCTCTGGGAGCTTTTACACATGACACTAGAAGTGCTTTTTATTATCTTGTTTTATAAACTGAATATATGGATGCACAGCGGCTAGATTTAAAAATGTTTCTGTTCCCATTAACATTTCTGTTAATACATTCCCACAAATAGTATACTGGCCATACTCAGTGGCAAACTGTAAGTTACAAAAGGCAATTCTGAATATCAAAGCCATGACCTTTGTATCAAAGTCTTGCCTTCATTTATTTTAAAATAAAGTCAGGACATTTCAAACAAGAGAGCTTTTGTAAGGGAGGGTATTCTGGAGTAATTCTTGAATACTTACATTTGAGCTCAAGCTGTTACGGAGAGGCCGCTTCAGAAAACTAGAAAGCATTCTATATGACCAACTGGAAAAAGAAAAGCAATAGGATTATGGTCTCTCAGATGTCAGTCAGTGTAGATACTTGCTGAGTAGCACCATGGAATGGTAGAGCTGGAAGGGATCAAAAATACCACCAGGTCCAACCTCCTACTCATTGCAGGACTCCCAGTTAAACCATCCCTCTTGGATGGCTTGGATTAAATTTTAACATATCAGATGTTAACTTAGTTCTCTCCCTAACATGTTAACATGTGTGTGGTCTGTGTAAGCTTTATGTGGTTCCTCCCCAGCTTCTGTAACTCTCAGGCTGAAACAGGTTCAGTGCCCCTTTTTATGGTACTGATACAAAGCCACACTGTTGGCTTCTAATGCCTGTTTTCCAGACATTGACACTAAGGCAGGGTGATATTATCATACAGAATCCTAGAGCAGAAATGAACGTAACTCACCTGGAAAACAGGCCTTATATCACTGACTAATATCGTCTATAGATCAAACCTTCTTAGGCCTTACCTGGCGGTTTCATCCAGCTGGATGTTAACTTCATGAACTTTTCCCTGGCAGCTCTCGAGCAACAGCATTGGGCGACCTGTTTCATCCTGTGATGCTGATGCAACAGCTACAATAGATACTCCTGAAATGAAGACCATCAGCCTTCCAGAACTTCTGCTGCTAACAAAAAAACAGTGAACTCATGTGAGCAGTTTGCTTCAAGATGATGCCACTCCTGTGGAAGTTGAATGCTGAAAAGGACACTGTTTCTTGTTACCTGGGAAAAGGCAGTGCATCACCCCAGCTAATGTTTTCAGGAAATGTGTCTGTATTTTATTTATCAGTCATATTTGTATCCTACCCTGGGAAGCAGGGATGGAGAACACAGTCCTAGGGGCCAAATCTGTCCCCCAGGGGCCCAATCCAGCCCTTTGAGCTTCCCCAAATGGCCCTCTTCCTCATCCCAGCTACTGATTATTTGGTGGATTTCCAGCTTTTATGCACTTTTCTTTCCCATTTTAAAAGGTTGGAATCTAAGGAAGAGCCTGAAACCACAAGCTGCAACATACTGGTTCACTAACTCACGGGGTTGGTGTCACCATGAGCTCCATGCTTGCATCTGCAGCTACTTGACTGAATAAAGACAGGTGGCTGAGGTCCACCCTTTCCCCCAAGAAAACCCAGTGTTGGTTTCTCATGGACCAATGTTCGCTTCACCTGGGTGGGGGTAGTTTTTGATTTCTTATGGGAGAGGACCTGCCCTCTCACACAAGGTAGTGGGAGCTCTTGTCACTTCACCCCATACTTCAAGGAGCTCAGTATAGCATGCGTGCATTACATGTTTCTTTTAAAATGCATGCTCATTGTTTTCATGCAATTAATGCCACTTTTCCTTCGGCCCTGATTTTTCTGCCCTTGGAACTGGCCAAGACCAGGTTTGGGGTCTTCATCAGCACACTCTGAGGAGCTTTTTGCGGGGGGGGGGGTGATATTTTCAGGACCGCAGTGGGTCCCTCCCCCTGCCCCACTGCTGCTTGAAAGTATCAATGGTCGCCTCGGATACTTTTAAAAACAATAAAATTGATTTGAATCCACAAAGCTGACATCATCTGCAGCTTGGCCTTCATGGCTGCACTTACGATATCCAGGTCTTTGCTCTCCATTCTGCACTGACAATTGCTGAAGCTTCATTAACTGATAGTTTAATCCCAGTGCCAGGTATGAGAGACACGGATGTATTTGGAAATTCAACATCATTGACTCTGATCCTGCAGAACATCAAGGAATGTTAGTTTGGCATTGCATAAAAACCTAGGACTGTAATTTTTCTTTGATGAGGATGGTGAAAAAATACTTATATACTGCTTCCCATTTTTTAAAAACCCAAAGAATTTTACAGCAACTTATAAAACTGCAGAACATTAGAAAATCACAGAATATCTAGATAAGCTAATGATTTGGAAAAGGTAGGAAAAGTTTTTAATACTTGTTAAAAGCAGATGAGCGTTGCTCTGACATACTGAAGATGGGAAGCCAACCAAAAGGAGGGTGCCACCCCTCCTGTTGGCATATCTTTATATGTTCAGTTTTCATTTGCTTCATAAAAAAGTGACAACAAAGCTAGTTAAGGGTGAAGTTCTCTTTGGACTTTGACTATTAGAAATGTAGGAAGCTGCTTGATCTAGCCAGTGCTGCCAACACTGACTGGCAGCACATCTCCAGGGTTTCAGGAAGGATTCTTTCCTTTCTGACCTGATGCCAAGGACTGAACTTAGGATCCTCTGCATGCAAAACAGAGGATCCTCTGCATGCAAAACAGATGGCCATTCCCTCATGGAATTCCATTCCCCATTCATGAAAAACCACAATCAAATGATGCAAAATCTATTTATTTATTTGTTATTATTTTTATTTATTTAAAATATTTATATGCCGTCCTGTCACAAAAGCCTAAAATACTTTAAGTTACATATCCATAGGATGGACTGCTCTTTCTGCTGTCTTTCCAACTGTAGTAATTGTAGTTTCTGGGTTTTTTATTGTTAACATATCTTTATTTACTCTGTTTACTTATAGCAAACTTTTAAGTTTTTAAATAGAAGATATGAAGTAGGCTTAACTAAGGGGCAGTTGATATTTAATCCCCAGGTACACTGGACAGGTAGAAATAAAAGAGGCAGAATTTGCAGGGAGGAAAGTACTAATGAACATTTTGGGAGACCTTCACTTACATGTGAAGGGCTTACATGTGAATGAACACCATGGAAAGATCTTGGCTGTCTTGGGAAAGCATATTGCTGGAGAATAAGAATTATATGTGCTGGCTCCACATTTTGGAGCACCTCCGGGCAAGCATCCTCACTGTGGTCCCTTGCCCAACATGGCCACTTCTTATTGCCATGGACACTGGCTCCTGCTGTTCCAACTCTTCCTTATTATTGCTACCACCTGCCTGCTTGACTGGCAGAGCCAGTGTACAAGAAAATGCTGGCATCTATAGTTTCCCCCTTTTCTCCATCTCTTGCATCTGAAGAAGACACAAGTGACTGAGCAAGCTGCAGTGGTGAAGAAGAGAAGTGAGTCCCAGGCCATGATTGTCCATGGGCCGCAACTGGGCTTTTGGCCCTTTGCAAGAGCCCAGCCAGTCTGGATGCTGGTCCTTGTGGAACCAAACCACGGTATTCCTTCTACTCTCTGCAGACTGCTGAAAAGCAATACTTCAGCAATGCTAAAGGACCATATTAATTTACTTTGATATATCGTAGTTGTGTCCAAGCGTACTTACTTTGCAATGGTATAGTTGAGTCCTGTAAATCCAGATGTATCTTGCCCACTCATATCATCGAAGATTGCATTCTTTAATCTTTGTTTCAGAAGCTTTACTCCAAATTGTGTGCCTACAAGAGCACAGAAGCTGTTTCACTTTTTGTTTGGCTGGAAAAATGTGTAGAATGCAGCAAATACATTTTGAAATATTTCCCACGCTCTTTCATTCTGCAAATCAGGTTGGAAGGGTTGTTCGGTGTGACTTTTTTATTTATGACAAATACTGAGGTTTTTCTGCCTCTGCAACAAGTCTAACTTTACTATCTGTGCTTCTGTCACTTCCAGGACTGACCACTGCTGCATGTTCTAAGAGGCAGCTCTTGAAGATGCCTTAAAAACTTCAACAGATGCACTACCTAATAAATACCTAGACACATGTATTTCTCTGTATTGGCTACACTGGTTACCAATTGCATTTCTGGATCTTTTAAAAAAGCCTTTTTAACCTTTTGTGTACTGGATCCATCATACTGTAAGGATTACTTCCTCCCACACTCAGCACTTGGAGTCGAGTCAACAGGCTGTGTTGCCCACTGCAAGTTTGGGGAAAATGCCAGGCTTGGCAGTTATGGCTGAGAACTTATGGAACCTTTCCCATAAAGAACCATGTGCACAATCCAACAGGAGCCTGCCAGTTCTCTTACGCAAGCAGCCCCCACCACTTACAATCTACCACTTCCAGGGCTACCTGAAATGAGTAGAAATGCTCACTTCTGAAAGGAGGCAGGTCAGTGGAACTCACATAATGGAGCTTCTCCAGCTCACCAACTTCCAGAAGCAAACCTACCATTCCTTAAAGAGGTTAAAAAATGCTGAATGGCTGCCTCTAGGCACTTTTTAAAAATTCCCACCGTGCTCTGGGGTGATTTAAGTCAGGGGCATTATGGGAAATGAAAAAGGTGGCTAGATCCAGTCACTCAGAGAGCTAGGCCAGAAAAAAGTCAAGTGGGCAGGCATCAGCAGGGGATCCGAACAGCTGCTTAGGGCTGCCACATGTCTGCATGGTCTTTGGCTATACTGGGGAAGGTCTAGTGCAGTGGTAGAGTGCATCTTAGGGTACGTGTCAGTATAAGGCTGCTCATGTGCTCATTTTATATCAGGGAAATGTATAAATTAGAACTGTGTTGTGGATACTGGTTTCAGTGTTGTGAATCTCTTTGATTTGTCAGGAAAGGTGATACAAAATAAGCTTTCTTGGAGCATCTCCTTCCATCTTTGTTTTTCCTTTTCACTGTTGTATTTTAATAACCAGCAAAATGTTCAGTAGATTTATATCACTAACTCTGTCTCTTTCAAGCTTACCATAATCCAAACCTTTCTGTGTCATCTTCACTCTGATGCCAGGATTTGTACCAAGGCACAGACCGGTAGCACACAAAAGGAGCAAAAATTCACAGAACTTCATCATATCTCTCGTTTTGTTTCTTCAACATAACCTGTTAGAACACATTCAGCTAAATATTGTGAATGAACAATACTTAATAATGCTGAAAGTAATAACAACATCCTCCCCATAGCTACTCATTATTGGGAAACTGATGTTACAAACTGAAAAGGAACTATAACCATTGTGAGTCTCACTGTTCATTATATTCTGCGTGGAACATCCTGCAAGCTATCAGGTGCATTCCAAAAAGTGATCTATAGAAGCATACAATGAATTGTTCTTAGGAGCAAAGTTTCCTACACATTTAGTGCTCCTAAGCAGTGCTCCTATGGCTCCTGAGCAACACCTGGGTTGCGGCACCCTAGGGTACTCCAGATTTCCATTTCCAAGACAGCACTCTGGAGTTCCACCCTCTCCCCTGCTCCCTGCAGCTGGTGCAGAAAGCTACCCAGGAGAGGGGGTGCTGTTCAGGATCTGAGGACAGGTAGAGGAGAGGATGCAAGGTATCCCGAAGGCACTGCATCCTCTTTCCCTTTGCCTCCAAAGGCCTTGATGGAAAACATTAATCTAGCAAAAACACAGAGCCAGAGGTGCAGGGAGGCAAAAATCTCCCCTGCCACTCCTTCGGCACTGCACTGGACAAGCAGGACTGTCCATATTCAGTGCCTTATCCTCGTCCTATTTGTCACTTTCATACAGCACGCTCTCTCGCTCGCTCTCTCACCCACACTCACACACACACTATGCATCTTTTCAAAAGATGCCTACTGTCTAGAAGCTGAGGCAAAACCAAATGTAGTGGTTAAGTCAGCTCTTTTATATTCAAAGTGCTCCCCTAATGTTAATTCATAACAGCAGGAGAAATTGTAGAACCTGTGAAAATCACTGGGCTGTTTCATATTCTACTGTTTTCAGAACTCTTCAATGAATAATGTCTTCCAGGTTTGTACTTTTGTCAGACAATGTGAATGTTCCATTCAACAGTTCCTAACAAACTGGCCTTATATTTAGTACAAATATTCAGCTGCCAGAAAACAGCCACACAATGGGCCTCATTTGCCCTAAGCTGCTGAAAAGTGATGACCCTGATATATAGTTTCAGATCTGCCAACCTCCTGTTCTGTTTCCCAAATAAACCAGTACTTTCCCTGAAGTCAAGATTGTTCCCTACCATTCCAGTCCCCGGCCACCTCACAAATCAGCTCACCTATCCACACGTTATGGAAATATTCATCAAGTTGGTGGCCATCCTTACCTCAGTCTTCTTAATCTGTATCTTTGGGAGCGCCGAATCTTACCTCTGGTAGAAGTTACCTCATTTGTAACCAGCTGGGTTAGAAACGTGCAGAACTGAGCATCATCTGGGAAGAACCTTTATATACCATGTTCAGGCTAAACATTAACTAATTTTATGATGCATGCAATTGTTCTGATTGTCCAATAATGTTCCTTAAAAGGATAAAAGATGACTCCTTCATTTCCATCTTTGTAGACTTTTCTCCTTTAGCAGCCAGTGCCAGTGGTGGAGATCTTAGCCAAACTTCTACCTATCTGCCCAATGCTTTATGACTTTGTGGAGGACCCAGTCAGATAATGCTAACTGCTTTCCATATTGACTATACTGTTCAATGATATAGAACGAAGCCTCCAAAATATCTTCATTCATCATTGTATTCAGTTGTTATAGCAAAACAAGCTAAGCCCTTTCTCCACCGCAGTTTATTCATTTATTTTTCGATTTATATCCTGCCTTTTTCCTACAAAGGGCTCAAGGCAGCTTACATCTTCTCCTCCATCTTATCCCCACAACAACAACCCTGTGAGGTAGGTTGGGCTGAGAGTCTGTGACTGGCCCCCAAAGTCACCCAGTTGGCTCCATGGCTGAGCGGGGATTGGAACCCAGATCGCCTGAGTCCCAGTCCCATGCTCTTAACCACTACACCACACTGGCTCTTTGAAGATCAGTTGAAGTGATCTACCTCAAAAGAAAAGGCCCCATTCTTCTGCAGCAGATCTGACCCCGCAGTGAACGACAGTTTCAGATTGCTATTGATCTTGAAAGATACTGTTGGTTCACAGAATGAACAATGCCTGATAATCCATGAAACACTGAATGGGTTTAACAAAATCCACATAGCCCTTTATCTGGAGCACACTGGCCCTTGAAGAGAGGGAACAAGTCCAGCCATTTGATCAAGCTTCTGCTGGAAAAGTGAAATATTTGTTCCAGTTCACCCAGAGGGGTCGTCTGTTCTGTTTTCACACTGAAAGAGTCATAACACAACAGGTACAACTTTGTTGGTCCACTAAGCCTAGCAACATGAAGCAATGTGCTGGGGACATTTGCTCCCTTTCTTTTCCCCCTCTGCACCCCTGACCAAACTTGGGAAAAGGCTGGTGCTTTTTAAATGTCCAGAAAACCTAACAGTCCATACAAAAGCAGATATTAAAAGGAAGCCCTTGCAAATATCTCCACCCCCTCCAATTTTGAGCAAGAACCAAAGCTTGCAGTCTTATGCACTCAAACTTGGGATTTCCACCTGAACAAACCTGCTTTCCAAAATAATGTCTGTGTAGTCATTGGTAGGGCTGACACATTTTGATCAAGGAAGATGAAGTAGCCCCCATTATTGCTTGTAAAACGAGAATATTTAAAGGGAATTTTTAAGTGGAGGGAAAAGCAATAGACCTCTGGTTATTCAAAATAATAACCATTATCTTGGACCTGCAGCCAACAGGGATTGCCTGCAGAGAATTGGTTCTGGTGTCATATGGCAGCCCAGGGAAGCATGCATGCAAAAAGATATCTCGGGCTAGAGAGACAAGGACAGAGAGATTAAGAATCAAATGCAGATATTACCATCTCTAGGCACAAACAGCAGAGGCAAGACGGTTCTTAGAGGAGGGGGTTGCTTGGATTGGGATGCCTTTTGCCTTGACTGGCCTGAGCAAGTTGGAGCATAAGATGGGAAGGGCAGGGTTTTACTGGTCTACCTTGCTCTGACTATACTGATCATCCAAAATAAGGCACAAAGAAGGGAAAGGGAACATGGAAGGCAGGTGTGGCATCAGTTGGGATTAGGGTCTATCAAGGCTGGGACAAGCTCTGCATACTGGGTTCTCCTCTGGTAGTCACTCCAGCAGAAGTTGAACCCAGGCTCAAGTTTGAATGTGGAAATCTGGGAAAAGTGCTCTCTGGAGATTACAGCTTGAGGGTCTGCTTGCCTAGAGGGTCAATTTCTTAAACAACTAAGATCAGCACCATCCAGCTAAGTTACTCAGATTGGAAGAGGTGTGCAGATACCGGTAAATTCATCAAAAGGATTCATTCTATTGCCAGACTCAGAATAAAGGATTTTTATCACACTGTGTTAATTGGCTTACCTCACACCAGACTGATTATCAGCAACTGTGAATGACCACTGTTAATAATTTCCAGAAGGAAGCCATGTGAGTCTGCTTCAGTAGAAACACCCAAGAGTCTTGTGGCACCTTAAATACCAGCAGATTTATCCTGGAATAATCTTTCATAGGCATCAGCACATTCCATCAGGCATATGGAGAGCTTCAGGATTCTACACTGAAGGGGATCCTAAATGAATTCATGAGTCATGTTGTTCACACTAATGCTCAGCAGCAGGGCCATGTTGTCCTGTGCTACAGCTTCTGCTGCAAGTGAGAGAAGATCAAAGAGTCTGCTGGACTCATCACATGAATTCTTCAATGTTCCCTGGCATTGGCAGCTGATGTGAGCATGTGGCTTGGCCCCTTCCACCCAGGGGATCCAGAGAGGACTTGAGCTTCACAGCCCCCTTGAGCGGCACACCCATGCCACGTGGTGCCCTCCCAGATGCATTGGACCATTGGTCGTGTTGTCATGTGATGCTGGGAGTGGTGTCACTCCAACACAACTGGACAGCACCGGCTTGAGAGAGGCTTGTTTGGGAAGAGTTAGTCAAATAGAATCAAACGCCCTTCCAGAATACAGGTACTTCAGCCTGGCTCGAATCTGCTTAGATGCTGACTGTTCTATCGAGATCCCTAGTATCTAGTACTCTGAATGGCAGCTGCTCTTTAGATGTTAGATTGAAGGCTTTCTCATCACAGACTATATGTTCCATTCAGCTGGTAATGTCAAGAAATCCAGCCTGGGATTTTCCACTGGCAAATCATCCTGTCTGGCACAGGACTGTGCTCTAAGAAGCTACCCACACAAAAGTATGATGAAGAAGACTAGACACACACAGTCAGTCTGACAACTGAGATTTATAATAGAAATGACGGTGATGAAACAAGCCAGCACAGTACAGTTGTATGAAGAAAGGTCTATTTGCAGCAGAATGAAATGGTTACATCAGGAAGCTCTGCACATGGAGACCATCCATCCCCAAAGGCGTACTTCATTGTTCTTTTAATCCGTTGAGGCCATCCACAGATACTGCTATATCTAGTTGCTGTTAACTGTTTATATTATGTCTGGATATCACAGTTCTTCAGTCATCCAAGCTGCTTATAGAACTGCAATTATTTTAACACAAGTTTTTAGTTTTTTAATGAAATTATTTAAAATTGCCAACTAACAATAAATTCTCTACATGGTCTATTGGGATGGGATGGCATATAAATATTAAGATAAATAAGATAAAAATAAGATAAATATTAACAAACATAAAGTATATAAATGTATAATATGGACGTAATACAAAAAACAAGTCAAAACTGCATCAGAATAAAACAAAAATAGAGCCAGCAAGAGAAAAGTCATGCCCAATGTCTAAAATACACTAAAACACAGTTTAAAAATTGAAAAGCTAGGGAAAATAAAAAGTCTGTAATGAGCACTGAAGAAGCTACAATGTAGATGCCAGGCATCTCTCTCTAGGGAATGCCTTCCTTCCACAACTACTGGGCCATCACTGAAAAGTCCCTTCTTTTAGTAGCCACCTACACACTGCCTTTGAAGGAGGCACCTGGAATGGGTAATTTGAACATGACCTAAAGGTCTGTACAGGAAGAGG